CTCTTTAGGAATACATAATTATTGGCAAGATACCTATGGCGGTCTTTCCCACTCTTAATGTGAACTTCAGAACTTCTGTTTCCAGAGGCCCGTCGGGAAATTGGCTCCGGAGCATTTGTCTGCCTTTGCACACATATGTGCCATCTTCAGCCTCTGCCTGTCCCTCGACGGAAGTCTGTCCGATTTTGCCTTTGAGGTACACTGATGTATTTGGCTGACGCAAGACAGTATTTTAGGTGAGTATATATGAATGGGAATGGTTGTATATGCTTTGGTTTAGGGTATATAATTCGAAGTGTAGGTACCAACGTTCGATTTCTTAGCGCTACTTGGTCTAGTTGGGTATTGTCCTTTCTACCAGTACGCGTCTCTGGTTTATTATACGTATTAAATCACTATACGTGGGGAGATGCTCACACCCAGTAATTCGATCGCACAAGGTGACACTAGTTGGAAGGCATGGTGCTCTACTAGCGTAGTTTGTACTGTGTGTCTATGTAAACCATCATATAATTGCACTGATTTGAAAACATACGACTCCAGATTCCGATGTTCTGCTTACCGGGATTTTAGTGCTGTCACATAGACGGATGATAAATGGTCCTAAAGTGAAGTTGCCTTCTTCGCGGACATATATGAAGTCGTTCTCCACACAGGGGCCCCTGGGGTGCAGCCAGGGGGCACTGCTCATGGACCTGCACATCAGTAAAGCTGCGTTCACGGGAAACGATGTGTGGGTAGTGGCTATACACTGAATATTATCAGTAAGGCTGGAGTAGCACGATACGAAGTCGCAGCCAATGCATATAGCCTGCCCAATGAAGCGGCCGTATGGGCTGTATACGGTAGTTGGGTGCACTCAGTTCAGACTAAGACAGTTCACACCTGGCCAGTCAAGCTATATAAGGCATGTGCGCTGGTGACACTTAGTTCCCAACAGGCACAACGCCTCAACGTCTCAAGCCGCAGAGTATTGGTAGACAGATTCAGCTTACTGTAGACATATAACAAACCAGTAACGCAGTGAAAACATTGTTGCAGTAGACGCGAACTCACCTTCTGACGAGTTAACAAACGGAAGATCAAAGTTCTCTCCGATAACGCTGCTCCGGATCGTCTTGTATGCACCCAGCCAAGGACCCCCCGCTACGCAACCAAAAACCAAAGAGTCCAGGATAACACACAGGCAAGTGACGAGTACAACCAATGTCAGACGAAGGGTGTTAGTGTGGTTTTGGGTCATGACGACAAACATTACGCAACCGAACACCAAAGAGTCCAAGATAACACACAGGCAAGTGACGAGTACAACCATGTCAGATGAAGGGTGTTAGTGTGGTTTTGGGTCATGACGACAAACATTACGCAACCGAACACCAAAGAGTCCAAGATAACACACAGGCAAGTGACGAGTACAACCAATGTCAGATGAAGGGTGTTAGTGTGGTTTTGGGTCATGACGACAAGAGTTGATGGTCAGTGTACCAGTGGCCGTTGTTTGGGTGCGGTGTTCTAAGGAATGTTGCGAGCGTTAGTGATGTGCAGATATTATATGCTGTATACCAACTCGAGAGTGGAGTTTAAGATCTCCGGAGGCTGTAGAGAAATAAATAGGCCGTCTACGATCTCACTGTACAAGCTGTACACACCGTATCAATAAGCGGAACACTATAAATAGACTCAAGCGAGGATGCCCGTCACAACACACAACACACACATCACATACAGATACATATACAAACATACATACATACATACATACATAATTACATATATATATATATATATATATATATATATATATATATATATATATATATATATATATATATATATATATATATATATATATATATATATATATATATATATATATATATATAT